GGGAGGGTCTTTTCCTCTCGGGACGTGGCGCTGTCCCACCGGCACGGGGCCTGCGGTTTCTGGTGAGAAGGTGACGGCCGGTCCGCGGAGAGCCCTTCCTCGGGGCTGAGCTCTGGTCCAGGCTCTCAGCGTCCTGCTTCTGACAACGAGTCACGCCGCCTCTGGGTGTGGGCAGCCTTGAGTTTATACTGTTTTTAGTTTATCGAACTTCTCGGAGATAGATTAGTATTTTTAATCAATTTTGGGTAACTTTTGAACATTATTTCTTCAAATACTCTTTCTGCCCCATTCCCTCTCTGCCTAGGACGCCCAGTGTGTGCACTGGGACACTTGACAGCAGCTGGCAGGTCCCCGAAGCTCTGGGCGTCTTGTTGGTCTTTTTGTTTCTGTTCCACAAGTGAGGCCCTCATAACTGGTCTGCCTCCAGACTTGCTGACTCTTCATGAACTCAGTCATGGTACCTTTCAGTTACAGAACTCCCCTCGTCTCTGTATCTTTTCCTCTCTCGGTTCCCTCTGTTTGGTAAGATATCATTCTCTTACTGTCATGTTAATTCTTTAGACGTTGATTTCCTCCAGTTATTTGAACGTAAGTTATAGAAGCTGATTTTAAGTCTTTGTCTAATGTATTATCAGGATTCTCCAAGGAAACAGAATTACTGGAAGATACGTAGATGGATCAATTGTAGATTTTAAGGAGTTGGTTTCCAGGACTGTGGAGGCTGGCATGCTGGAAACCCAGGGATTGCTGCTACGTTGTGGCGTTAGAGCCAGTCTGCTGGCAGAACTCCCCCCTCACTGGGGACATCCGTCTTTTTCTCTTGAGGCCTCCATACTGAGGGATAATCTGCTTTACTCAACATCAGTGACTTAAATGTCAGCGTTATCTAGGAAATACCCTCACAGAAGCACCCAGAGTAACATCTGACTAAATTTTGGGGTACCGTGGCCTCGCCAGGCTGACATAAAGTTCACGGTCTTCCTTCCCAGACCCCCTGTAAGCATCACTGCTTCCCTTGAGCACATCCTGCAGGTCCCTGAAACTGTTCCCTTCCCTTCGTTCTTTTTCTTCCTGCTCCTCGGACTTGATCGTCTCAGCTAACTTACCTTCAGGTGTGCTGGCCCTTCTGCACAAGCTCGGTTACTGTATTTCCAGCTGCAGAATTTCCATTTTCTTTTGAAGCTAGCTTCTCTTCACCGGTATTCTCGATTTGTTGAGACTGTTCTCTGTCGTATTAGTTTTTTAGACATAATTTTATTTAGTTCTTTGAACATAATTTATCAAAGCTGACTTTTAAATTTTTTTTTTAATTGAAGTGTATAGTTGGTTGTCAGAGCTGCCTTTGTCTTACCCAGTATGTTTAACATTTGGGGTTACTCAAAGATAGGTTTGTATTGTGGAAGGAGGCTCGGGGTTCCCCGCGGCACCGGAGCTGCCTGGGCCCCTGTGAAGCTCTCACTCGAGTGTCCAGGCACTGTGTGGGTGTCAGCCCCTTGGAGGCCCTGTCCTCCTCCACCTGACGACAGGGCTGCAACGGCAGGTCTCCCGGCCAGCCCTCCCCTCCAGCCTGGCTGCCGGCCCTGCAGGAGGAAGGCTGATGTCTGGGAGACCGCTCATCTACTCCAGGCTGCTGAGCCTGCCATGAGCTTATGTGCACAGGTTGGAAAAAGGCCCCAATTTCTTCCATCTCTCTCTCCATCTAAGCTGGGGGTACCGTTGGCAGGGGGCCACCAGCCTCGCCAGCCCACGGCACCTGGGTATCAGGCATCCGGTTGTCATGTTTTGATGCCAACAGGTTCTGCCAAGGGGTTGAGAAGCGTCTGCACGGGTTGGGGAGGGGAGGTCCTCTCAGGTGAGGAGGCCAGGACCCCGCGCCCGGGGCAAAGCACTGCTCTTCTCCGGCCCAAGCCAGACTGTCCTGAGGGCGACCTGAGCCTCTCAGACCCGGGGGCCGGTCAGCAGGCTCAGCCCGGTGCCGTTCTGGGCTCGTGGACATTCTGAAAACACCTGCACAGCCTGCTGCACCCAGACTAGGGTGAGCAGGAGAACCAGACGGCCTCGGTTCCGGGACCTTCTTCACAAACGTCTAGTGGGCAGAGCCCACCTGTGAGTGGCCAGACAGCTGGGCTGTTTGTCTCATGGCAGGAAGTCGTGCTCAGGCCCTGTGGGGGGGACACTGTGGCATCACTGTGGTGCCTGAGCGGGGGCACAGTGTGGGCGCAGCTGCTCTGCTCTGCACTTGTGTTTGGGCCCCATCCCGGCCCTGTAGCTGGAGGAGAGAGAGAGAAGACCTGGGGGTTGGCCCCAGCGTCTTGGCCCCACGACGGAATCGGAGGCCCTAAGTGGGCCCGGGCTCCCTGCGCCAACACCCACGGGCTAACTCGCAGCTTAGAAGCTTCTGGGACCAAAGTTCTGCGACTCATTCATGCTCAGGCCTGGGGCTCTGCCTCCCGCTGAGGGACACTGAGCTCGGACCCAGCCGGGGGGTTAGCACAAATCAAAGAGGAAGGGCGAGCCTGGGTCCTCACCCCTGAATGGGGCGTGTCCGCAGCTGTCGCCAGCATGGGAAGTGCAGAGGCAAGGAGCACGAGGTGTCCGAGGCCGAGAGCAGGGACGGTCCACTCCTGACCCGTGGCCTCACACCCATCTAGCTGGACCAGAGAGTAGACAGGTCGCGGACGGAGCGGGGCTCCCTGGAGAGGAGAACCGGGTGAGCATGGGTGTCCTCGGAGCAGGGAGTTGTCAGCACACTCAGCCCCCCGGGGACTCAGGGTCGCGGCTTGCCTGGGTGCCAGGAGACCAGTCTTCGCAGCCTGTGCCCTGGTCTCCCCATGGCCACAGCGCTCAGCCACTGTTTTCATCTCTACGCCCTTGTCTGTCTGTCGTGTACCCCCTCCACTGCCAGCACCCCTGTCGTGAGCAGAGGAACCCCTTTGGGTCCTAGTAAGGGAAAGAAAGGAGAGGAAAATAGCATTTGTTTCAAAATTGAAAGCTAATTGGGAGGAAAAAATTCAAAGACACTGGAGTTTTTAGGGAGTGACCCTCATCTCAGCCACGGCGGCCCTGCCCGAGGGGCCTGTCATGTACAAAGAGCATGTAATTAATTAATTTATTTCTTTACACATAACTGAAGTGATGTTACAGTACATAAGTTATTTACAACTGTGCAGTAATGTGTTGCAAAATAAATTATCTAGAAGGCAGCAAAAGTACATTGTGAACGTGTATAAAACTGTACAGCGTTTACGGGTACACTTTTTATATGATTATTGGCTCTGTAGTGTTTCAAGTTATGTTCTCAGAAAGAGAAACAAAATGCCCAAGATTAAAGGAAAAATATACAAACCACGTGGATTTGACTCCATTAAAAACACAA